GACACTTGCGTGCTTTTGGGCCATAAGATTGGTGATACCAGCACCAAGAGGGACGGGCACGAGATGACGATCTGGATCGTGAACGTGGTCGATGCCTGTTGATCTCCAATTGTTGTAGGCAATCAGTCAAAGCATCAAACTTGGCTTGTAGGTGCGATGTAGAAGCAAGAAGCGGGTCGGAATCTGTAGTAGTGAGCGCAGGGCGTGATGCGGAGTCTACGGGGTAACTGGGGTATGTTTCGTTCATCTTATCCGTCATTTGGGCTAGCTGCTCCAAGCCGTGGTCATCAGCGAAAGCGCTGATGTGGTGTCACATGTAGGGTAGGAGTTTGTCGAGCCATAGTTGGGCCATGATCTCCTCTGATAGCTTACGGCCGCAGAGGAGACTGCGCATGTGGCGAAGCATTTGTGATGGCGATCCGTCCCCAAGTTCGGCAGTGGTGAATAGATCCCGTAGCGTCTTGTTTTCTGATTTCCCTGTCCTACCTTTGAGGGCCGCTCGAAGGGCGTCATACGGATTTTTCTTAGGAATATCTTCCAACAGATCTTCAACTTCTGTTTCTACATCACAAGGAAGATGCCGGACAACATAGGGAAACCGGGTGACTTGGGAAGTGATGCGTCGGGTAGCAAAAACGGCATCCACCTGGTGAATCTATACCCTGATTGTAGTCGGGCAAACGTATGCTAATTGCATTCCCGACTAAATCCGCTGAATCAAAGTGTGTCTCCATAATTACCGGGCAAAAGAAACAAAATCACGACGACTTGAAAAAAAGGCTTTCAAAAAAATATCTAGAAATACTCGGGCTCACCAAATTTGTAGTGGTCTGGCGACCCAATAAGTTAGTTTACCAGGAGTGTGTGGAAAAGAAATAAAAATGATTACGCTAGGTTGGGTATACAAAAATAAAGAGACCAGACGGAACAGACTCACTAACAATTGTTCTCTTTAAAATAGTTCGTCGTTGGNAAATCAGAAGAGAGGGTCGAAGCACGTGACTACGCTTGTGTTCTGTGAAATTATACACGTGCGCGTTTTTGTAGTTTTTCGTATTCAGACAAAAAGCTATTATGCAGTTGATGAAATACGTTATAATGGAAGTAAAAGAAAGGTACAAAATGAACCGTATCTTTACCCTACTGTTTAGCCCATGTAACAGCCTGCGACTGAATTTCAGCCCTTATCTATTAACCTGGAAGCTCTTCCCCGAACATTCCTTATTTTTTGCTGTCACACCAACGGTCTCTCCGCAACAGAACCGTCTTTGTAGCACACTGTGATGGGGCTAAATCTACCAAGGCACTATTAGACATTTATTTATGCGAATCATCGTGCTGGCAAGCATACTGCCCCGCGCTGAGAACATACAGAGCAGTGCTGCACCCTTTTTAACTAGTGCCTCTCAGTCGAACGACAGCCGCTGGACGAAAAGAACAAAACCGTCCCGGAAACTAGGGCGAGAGCCTCGATCTTGTGTATCAATCCGTTAGTCTGCGTATCCGTGAATGCCACACCAATTTCCGCTTGTACCTTGCAGGTGAACGGAAGACGCTGAACAACAAGAACCAACTTAACCTGAGAAGCTTGAGCTGTAGACTCGACCTCGTTCATCAGTCCGTGAATCCATGATCCCTTCTGTACCCTCTCAGCGAAATACTGGACAAAGACTGAAACGCACGCGGAAAGGCGAAAGGCGCGTCAATCGGATTTACCCGCCAATGTTAATCACACGTCATCTCATGTTTTTGGTACTGGTGGTTTGCATTTTGATATCCGGAATAAGCGGAGGTTTGTAATATTCTAAGGTAATACTTATCGCACTGTAGGAGGCGACAGAGTCAGACTAACAGATGTGAACACACTCACCTTTCAGCGTGGGCATTACACTGCCGCACGACGCGGTATCTCAGTCCCTCAGGTAATACTGTTGTATTAAAAAGGATGCCTGTTTTTCCAGCTTGAATGCGTCGGTGGCACCGCATCAAGATTTTCCGATTATCACCCATCCACGGCCCAGTGCTACAACAAAGGTCATGATGGTCGAGATGTACAATGGGAGTGTAAAGCCGAACTAAACAAGAACGTGCGCTTGGGACGCATTACCGTCAGTTGTGAGGGCTATTCTTTCCCAGAGGACCCATATGTTCTCTATGGGTCGTGTGCGGTACGTGTATTAAAAACATTGTATGTTGCAGTTTCTTAATTCTACTTAAGAACACTGCACCATTGTTTCGCAACAGCTTGTTACTAATTAGTAACAGGGTATGGTGCTTATGGGATGCTGTTCTGCCCGCTTACCTTAGTAGGGTTTGGCTGGGTGTCCTTAAATAGGCTTAAAAAAGAGGGCGGTATTTCCATTTGTTTAAATAATAATAATTATTGTGTATGCATGTTGTGGGGTTCGCGGGTTCGCTGTAGCACCCTTTCGGTTCCTGGCTGCCAAGCCGTTGGTTTAGCTATGAATTATTGTGTATGCATGTTGTGGGGTTCGCGGGTTCGCTGTAGCACCCTTTCGGTTCCTGGCTGCCAAGCCGCTCGATGTAGCTATGAAAGATGGGATACTGCCGGATTGTACAAGCTTGTAGGAAAGTAGTCATGGTGCCCAGGTTGGTTCCTTACTATGGACCTTCCGGTACGTAGTCTCATGCCTTAACCACTGAGCTATGTAGGGCTTTCCATGGTGTAGCGGTTATCACCGTGAATGTTGACACTGATGCTTCACTGTCTTCCAGCCAAAAAGTTCATCTAATCACGGAGACCCTGAAGTCAAAAAAGAGACGATAAATGGGATCTGGTACTCTCCCACTGTAAACCTTCTGTGTTACCTTCACCTCCAGGTGTTAAACCAGACACTCTGGATAGAAACCTGCCGGGCTTCCTTCGGGTGGCATTAGAACTAGGCACCAGGGGAGTGCTACAGCTGAACCTTTTTTTCAACAGCCCCCTGAAGGGCGTTGCCAAAGTTCTTGCATCCAGTCGACTTCCGATATTTGAAGCAGCCATTTATTTTTCATCCAGGAAGAGATTGCTTGTAAGTGAATGATGTTTTTTTTAAATTCATGCTTTCTGAGCACATATACATGTTTTTCACGCTGGATCGGGGTCAAACCAACATTAGAACATTCGGGTTAGAACATTCGTGTCTTAGTCTTAGGCCAACAACTATCGCCTCGTGATCAGGCTTTTGAGCAACAGTATTCGATTGGAGGCCTTAATCATCCCCTTATCTTGGGTTAGCTGCTCCGGTACATCTCACTCCATATGCAACCGTGAATTACACGAATACGTGTATTTACACACCGCGTTGACCGGGTGGCATTTGCCTGCTGCATACAGCAGGCAGGTGAGTTAGGGCGGACCGCTACCGATACGCACTATGATCTCTTGATTCCCTTTCCCACTATAAATCTCCCAGCCATGGGCGTATCGGTCTTGCATTAGAAGAAGCGGCTAGTATCACACCACAGCGCACGTCTGACCAGACCTCGCTCCTATGTGCTCATCACCTGATGCTGCTCTGGCCTGCAATCTCGACAATCTATTGATAATTGTTGCACTTTCAAAACTCAGCTTCCGTGAAAACCCGCGCTGACAGAAATTTTGTCTCAATTTTAATCATTGCATATGCACCAACCAAATGCAGTCCTGATTCGGTGAGACACCTTTTGTCGAGACCTGTCCACTATCCTATCAAGTACGAGGAATTCAAATGCTGTCCTAATTCTCGTGCACAAGTAGGACAGCTCAGTTCATCAAAGGCACGACTTGGTAACCTATTCGGTTCGGACTCATTTTGCAACGACAGTTGTAGTTTTTCAGTACTCACCAATTGGTCCCACAAAATGCTAGATTCAGGCTCATTAGACACAATTGCGCTTCCTGGTGTCCCTCGTGCTGAGTACAACCATTTAATAAGGTTAGCCCTCGGAAACCTCTTGTCAGCAAGACAATCAGAAAGCAAAATGGCTCCCTGATATGCAGCAAAGCAAAACGTTTGGACCGCTGGGCACAGTACCTTGAACTGGAATTCAGCTGGCCACCTGCTACCTCCAATTTAGAGTCCTGGCTTTCAGCAGAAAAATGTACCGGAGATACGGATGCACCTTCAGTCTCAGAAGTGTCCGAGTGTATTTCCGTACTCAAGCATCATCGTGCTGCTGGTCCTGACGACCTTCCACCTGCCCTTTTCATGGATGACGGTGGACTTCTCAGCCAGTGTCTGTCTAGCCTATTTGGGTCTATCTGGGAGAAATAGACCGTCCGAGATAACTGGGGTGAATCCATAGTGGTGCCTATTTTCAAAGGAGGTACTCGCAGTGAATCTAGTAACCATAGAGGTATCAGTTTAACTCCTGTTGTGACAAAGCTTCTGGTGTCACTGATTTTTCGACGTCTTATGGGGGCACGCGAATCCTTGACTCGTGAGAATCAAGCGGGATTTCGACCGGGTAGGGGCTGCGTTAACCATTTCTTCGCACAGACGACCCACGATCCCGGTATTCCTTGACTTCAAGGGTGCGTTCGATTCTGTTGATCGATCAGTTCTGTTAACTACACTTGCTCAACAGGGTATGCCCCAGAAGTTTGTAAACATAATCCGATCTCTATATTCACATACTTCTGGGCGGGTGATGGTGTATGGTGAGCTCTCCAAAAGCTTTCCTACAAAAAGTGGTGTCAGACAAGGATGCCCACTCTCCCCATTCTTGTTCAACTTCGTCATCGATGAAATAATGAGGCGAACACTGGACGGTTTTCAAAACCCCGGTGTTCAAATTGTTGCTGGCGAGAGCCTTATCGATCTGGAGTACTCAGATGACATCGCCCTCATCTTTGAAGACCTTAGCGAAGCACAAGCCCTGTTGAATAAACTGACCGCCATCATACCATCATTTGGCATGCGCCTTGCACCTTCAAAGTGCAAAGTCCTGCTTCAGAACGTGCCATCTGCGAACATATCCCTTACAATTCAAGGAGAACCACTGGAGATTGTGGAAAACTTTACATACCTCGGTAGTTGTATTAGCTCTGACGGAAGTGTGTCTGATGAAGTCAGTGCAAGAATCTCAAAGGCTCGAATCACGTTTGCTAATTTGCGTCACTTGTGGCGTCAAAAAGGCATCTCACTGGATCTTAAGGGTCGTTGTACCAGGCTACAGTAAGGGCTGTGTTGTTGTATGGGTGCGAGACATGGCCTCTTCGGGTAAATGATGCGAGGCGTCTTCAGGTTTTCGACCACCGATGCCTCCGAAGCGTGGCTGGTTTTGGATGGCATCGGCGTGTTAGTCACGAGGTAATTAGAAAACGAGTGTTTGGTTGTGCGACAGGTACTTCGATCGGGGAAACATCCAGGATCACCGACCACGATGGCTCGGTCATGTTCTATGTGTGCCGAAACGCCGTCTACCGAGACGAGTTTTGTTCTCCGTGCCTTCTTCAGAGTGGTGCAAACCGCCAGGTGGACAACGCATGACTTGACAGAAAGGCGTGAAAGAGATCACGAAGAGTTTGGTTGTTGTCGATGTTGTGCGCTTTCCAGGATAGAGTCCCCGTGACCCCACCTGTGCTTGGCTGGAGACGTTGCAAGAAGTGGTAACTAATCGATGTCAGTGTCGTTTGTGCTGTCAGTTTCTTTCCAGCCTGTCTGATTGAGCGCTTGGAGGTGTAGGCACCTCAGAACGCTTGACATAGGCCAGCACTAGGCCCCCCGGTCCACTATTTTTCTCATATTTTCACTCTATGGCTTTAACTATAATTAGGCGAACCTTATGGTTGTACGGCAGTGAAGCATCAGTGTCAATACTGATGTCGATGTGTTTGATGATGATGATGATGTCGATGATAAGAGAATGCTGTTTTCCGTGCCCAGTTGAGGTAGGCGATCAATTTTGAGCTGACAGAGGGGTGCTGTCAGTTCTACTTGCCTTCTAGGATGGGGAACTCGTGATCTCCACTAGGCCTGGTTGATACGATAATGGAAGACTCACTATCAGCCTCCAACGCCTGTGGCGTCGAAGTGCTCCCTGGGCGTCCGCTCGCAGATATCGAGCACGCAGACTACGTAGCTCTTCTTGGATTTGACTCCGTGGGACTTCAAACAATATTAAGTAATCTAAATAATTCCTCCCCGCTGTTTGGCATAGGCTTCACACCTGCCAAGTGCAAAGTACTACAGCAAGACTGGGTGAGCTCGAACCCTAGACTCCTGCTTCCGGATGAACCGATTGAGGTAGTAGACTAATTTGTTTACCCAGGAAGTTGTATCGGTCCCGGTGGTCTAGCCAAAGATGATATTTCCATCCGGATTTGAAAGGCCAGCTTTTGCGAATCGGTGGCGTAGGCGTGACATCAACTTAAACGTCAAGGGTCGTGTTTACAATGCTGCGGTGCGCTCCATAATACTCTACGGATAGGAAACCTGGCCGTTGTGTGTCGAGGATGTCAAAAGACTTTCAGTGTTTGACCATCGATGCATTCGGAGCATTTCCCGAGTCTGGTGGGAACACCCGATCAGCAGTCATGAAGTACATCGAATGGTATTCGGGAGAAATAACACACCTTCGATAGATGAACTGATCATACTGCATGGGTTGCGTTGGCTTGGCGACGTGCTGCGTATGCCAGTCGACCGACTTCCTCGAAGGGTTCTATTCGCACAACTATGTGAAGGGTGGAAGAGAGCCAGAGGCAGTCAAACAATGACTTGTCAGCGAAGTGTGAAAGACATTACCAGCAAACTCGGCTGCGCTGGTCATTGCTGTCTTCCTGGATGGGAACCCCTAGACGGGCCACATGAATTGTTAGAGACATTGTAAGACATGGCCCAGTCGCGTCCTCAATGGCGCTCGCGCAAATAAGCCGTTTCCTTCAATGCGTAGCTCCCTTCCCGATTCCCCCACTTACCAGTCCCCTGGCAGTGCTGTATTTATGCACCAATTCATCAGTTCCCACTTCCAATTCGCAGCTACCTGCCCCACCTCCCCAACTCATCGGTGAACGAAACTTTTGCAGCTACAACCACTGTACAAGTACGCGGTTCTAACAGCTGACGGTGGTGAGGATGAATACTAGTCGTTGTCTCTGGCGTTCTTGTTGTCAATTTCTATGCAGATTGCCTTAATGAGCGCCCAGAGATGGCACCTCGGAGTGATTGGATTTTGCTAGCACTAAATCCCTTTCCCGTTTATTTTTTTATTCTTTTCTTCACAAACAATGTTTGTATGGCAGCGAAGCATCAGTGTTGAACACCGATGTCATGCAGTCGGTGATGATGGAACCGCTTCTGTACACTGAGATGAACAACTGAACTACATTTGTGGCCAGGTTGACATCCATTTCTTATGCTGTCCCAATGAGTGTCATCGATATTACGCTGAGACACGAAGGACAGGTAATGCCAGTGGCCCGATGCCAACCAGGTAACTAATGCTGGTCCCCATTGTTATGCCATGTTGTCTGGACCTGCTGAGAGCTTGAGATGAACCCTGATTCTCCTTCGTTAAATCTATTCACCTCGTAGTTCACCGATTTTTCTTCATCAACAACTCTCAATAAATGGGACCGTTGGATCACCGCCTGTAACGTTTGGGTGTTCCTCCGCAGTTTTCTCATTCTTCAGTAAACAAGGCTGTAATGGCTGGAAACGGTGCACCCCCGGTACAGGTTTGTATCTGAATAAATTAACTTAGTTTTTTTGCAAGCTCAGTATCGAGTAATGATGAATGGGGGCACCTCCATCCATTCGTTTAGCAGGGTGTTCATCAGGTGGTTCGAACCCGACCTCTGCTACTCGACTTCCCCTGTCTAGGCTTGGGCAGTATCCCAGCCCTCGTGCTTCCTTCGAGTGGCATGGCAGTTAGGCTGGACGATTTGAACGATTTCATTCTTCCAGCTAGCAATACTCTTTGAAACCGCTCGTTTCATTTCTTGCCTGAGTACATAGTGCACTTTGGAAATGACATGGTTATTCAAAACCGTAAGGGACATCTCAGTACTTTAGTACTATCCATTGATTTATATCATTGAATCACGTATTGCCTTAATGGGAAACAGCCATTATAATATTCTTACTCTTTATTTACGATTTTCCACTCTCGTCAGCTCCAATATGAGTTAGACTTCAAAGACGGCTACAGACGAACCAGTTCAAAGGATCAGAAGTGAGTCCTGGCCGTGTGTTAAATTTTTTAGGCCAATCACCCTTTTAATTTGTCTCAAACTTGGTGCGTTCTGTGGATCGTAGGGGGCGTTGAGTTGCCTATCAGTTGTCTGGCATCCTGAAATTGTCCCCGTCAGTGCTACGCGTAGATTTGAAAGTTGAGTGCTAGTACCTCTGAAGGATATTCATGACACATTATTTCGGTTAATCGAACTTGGTTCATGGAGGTTTGGACATCCTAGATAGGCTTGCTTTACTCACCTTCCTCTCGCTTTCTCATTTCCGTTTTTTAAAAAGCTAACTAGCGTACAGACTAATTTGGTTTCATCGGGAAACTCCACTGAACCACCTATTGATTCGGTTATAATGTTCTCCAACTGAATGTGCTGCACAAGGGTCGCTTCATGTTTCAATTTGTACGGTACTCGAAATGTCTTCGATGATGAAGATTCTTGAAGCTCACGACTGCAGGTTTACGGAAATTGGGGACTGTGCCTACCTAATGAGTCCCAAGAAGAGCGGCGTTAATCGTGGGCTGTCGAAGCTTTATGAATGGTGCTTCATCAAGAAAACCAACTGATGCGGTTGAACGCCTTCACTTTTTCTGGCTCTATGCTTTTGGCGATGATGATGACCCTATTTGTAATGAGGGCAGCGAAATTGCTGACACAATGTATTGGGAAAGCAAACCCTAAATGGCGAACCACGTCGGCAAATTGTGTAAATCAGTACTCGAAATATTTGTTTTATGCAGTGCGACTGGTCTTGTCGGTAAATAGTGTTGCACAGCTTCAGAGTTCAGTAGGAAGCTGGTAATCCCATCCTGTTTGTGCCTGGAATTAATCTGCGGTTCATACATAAGTAAACGTTATAACTTTCTTGCAATTATTCGTACCATTCATGATCAGTTGTTTTTCATCTCCGGTACGCTTCCTTTTCTACGGATAACTGACAATACTTAATACACCAGATAAGGGTCATTGGGTAACTTGTCGTGCAATTTGCAAACAAATGAACACTGTAGTGATGCAGTCATCGATCTGATGAATGGATTAATACTGATCTCAAAACGATGTGGTCGAGCTCTGTTTGTATATCCTGAAAGAGTTCACTTCCAGCTCACTTGGTAGGCACTTTTGAAGTGGATGTTTTCAGAAAACAATGGAAATGTCTGTCTCCTTCCAAGTGTTAGGCTACAGTAGAACACTGACCACTTTCTGATCCATCCCACGGGAAATGCTTACCGGAATTTAGATTCCACTCGGCTATGGGGTCTTTTCTTTTATCAGAAGCTTTCATTAGACAAAAAGGATTCTGTTGGTATTCACTTTTCCACACTACGATAGCAGCATTCCCTATTCATAATAAACTATGTAAGAAGCAGATTTAAAGAAGCAATTTTGGTCACCGCATTGTGAACCCTCCTTGCTCACAACATTCTCTAGTAATGTAAGTGAAAACACTAAAGTTTCACGGTGCTTCATTCGGATAAGCACCATGCCAGTGTCCTTTGGGTGGCTGACTTCGACCTCATTTTGAAGACTCCTTAGAAGGAACTGGACCGACTGGTTCAAGGGCAGGTCAACCACAAGTGGTTGTCAGTGTGGTTGAATGTAACACATGTCGTTTCGTAAACCTGTGCTACGACAGTTGGATAGTTCTACCGGTGGATACACTGAATGTTGTCCCGAAACACAAAACTCTTCATCTCAATGAAACAGTAGACCATATGCAAGACTGTAGGCACATAAACTGTTTAGCAGTTGCAAGTTACAACTTATCCTGCAAGACAAATGTCAGGAGGTTGTAAAGTGGAGACTCAAGGATCCAACAGAAAATAGTTCATGTAGGTAAGTGCCTCTACCGGAAGATGCACAGATTTACTCAGGTTAACCGGGAGAACACCGCAAGTGCCGAAGAATAACCCTAGGCCTGTGGTGGATGAGTTGACCTGTCCAGAACTTATATCTAGATAGGTTGATTTGAGGAGTTCCAAGTGGGCCGAACAGTTCGGTGCATGAAACTTTGGATGCAACAGCTGTAGAGGTCAGACTTCATGTCATTGCCGAGAGGTTCATAGCAAACTTGTCCAGACTGTCTCTCCAAAGTTGTTCTTGTCTCGGATCGAAAAGAACCCGCCCTGCTTCTACCGGAGAGAGCTATGTGCCAGCACATACTGCTTTGTATTTTGCGGAGTTGAGGAACGTTAGACCTCAGTGCCTGATGCACAGGCAAACTTGTCCAGACTGTCTCTCCAAAGTTGTTCTTGTCTCGGATCGAAAAGAACCCGCCCTGCTTCTACCGGAGAGAGCTATGTGCCAGCACATACTGCTTTGTATTTTGCGGAGTTGAGGAACCTCAGTGCCTGGATGCACAGGCTTTGACGAAAAACGATCACTTTGTTAGTGGGAAGCCTGTTCGTTAAAGTGGTTGCAACTTGAAAAACACTGACAGTATATTTACTGACTTTACCTGTTGTTACATTACTGCGTACACTTACAGTGGGTAGAAGGTGCTTCTCATCTAGTTTCCTTTAGTTTGTTTTTTGGACTGAACCTCCGAGCAAGTCTATTTAGGAAATAGTTTGATTGTTGTTGAATAATATTCCCTATAAGAAAGGAGTACCGTCACACAAAAAGACACGTAAGGGTAGTGCAATGTGGACCGGGTGGCCTTGATGTTTTCGGAAAATTTGTATACAATGTGACTGTTTAAGCCTATGAGGGGTTGCATCAAAACCCTGAGGAAGTTTATCTGTGGTAACCAAAACGTCATAGTTATTGAACGTCATTCTCAACAATTCCATGTTCTTGCTCCAACTCCCCCAAAAGTACATTAATAGACCTTGAACGCTGAGTCTTCTGGTCGTGTCCTTACAGGTCCTCACGCCTGTGTTAATAACCCACAGGCTATGATTGTCAAGTCGAGAAATTTAACGCTCAATTAGATGGTGAGGACCTTACCAGTTCAGCAATCTGTAGCTCCGATTTTGTTTGTCTGCCACAGTTTCCATCAGTGATAAGTATAATCTGACCCTTACTTATCTGTTTTTTAGACTAAGCAGCGCGACTTTTCATTTCATCATCCCTGTTATAGATGGTACCACAATTTTCAGTCTGTCATTCAGCCGCGATGGACGAACTCAAATATGTTGCCCTATCTGGTATTGATAGGCTTATTGATTCTAGCATTCGCCATATGGTTCTTCTGTTTACGCGATAATTTTGGGTAAGTGGATTGACATATTCTCCTTATAATGTGGCAGCGTGGGAACATTTTTTCGCCTCTGTAGACCAGCTTATTTTGGTCATTGACTCGTTCAACTAATCTAACTCTATACATTTCGGTTCACAAAAACAGTTTGGACTGGGCAAACTAAATATTCACTCAGCAGGCCGATATTTTCGCGTAGGTACGACAAGTTGCACTTTTATTGCATTCGGCATAGGCTTTTCATCGGAGCCAAGAGATCTAGGAATATCCCACTGACCCGAATGTGAGATACTAACTTCGGTACCGGGAGACCAAAAGACTTTAGAAGGGACTCTAAGTCTCTACATGGTGAATCTTTTTACTTGCCACTTATCAGTGATGAGCAAGTGTGTTCACATTATCAGCGAGTTGCTGCATTGCGGTATTTTGACGATAAATTGCAAAAAAGGTTCACTACACGAATGCTGGTTTTCAAACAAAGCTGGTCCACTATGTCTCAGATCAGACTCCCAAGGTATTTATGTGAAACTGTACCACCCTATATCAGGAGGTCGTACTAAGGTATACCTATATCGGGTAGATCGTCGTATTTTCTATGACCGAAATCTCGTCCTTGGCTGCAGTCAGCCGTAATCAGTTGTTGATAGTGTTCCGGGACGGGACTTTAAGAGTACTGAAGCCTCTAAAGTAGTGAAATCCGAGATAAAACGGATGGAAATTTTCAGGAAGAGTCGATACAAGTGAACCACAAAGATAAATCAGTTGGCCCCTTTTCTAATTCAATCAGCGGCCGTCCTTAGACTGTTGCTGCATTGTTTCTTTGAGACTTTCTCAAATCCCTTGATTCACCTTATCATCTTCGCTTATGTTTTTGCTGTCTGGGTGTTCGCATTTTAACTTTTCAGGTTCTCATTAGGTTAGATAGGATCCACGTTGACCGGATGCAACGTGACGAGTCAACAATGCAATCAGTTACGTGCTCCATAAGTTCCTCCTCAGCAAGGCGATCGTCTTGGATGGTTTGATGGTGCTACTTTACTGTTCTGTTACGTCAGCGGTTGCTGTAATGCATGGTGCAAATACAGTTGATGTGGGTGTTTGAAAACCACGGAATGTGTCATTCGAGATTAACTGAATAATTCACTCCTTCCGTTCGAAGAGACGAGGCCTACACGCCTGCAACTGGCGTTTGTCTTATCCTTGAGACCGACCATAAATCGCTGCTGTATTTACCATCGTTCGTTTGCAGGCGCTTATCAGTTATCCGTAGCGGAAACTGAGCTCGAAGACAGCGGAACTGGTTATCTATATGAGTTTGTCAGAACTCAGAGCGAAGGAGGGCACGTTTTGGACAGTAGAGAACACCCGAAGTTATGGTCTTCCGCCTATTGTCGTACGTCGATGTGGAGGCTATAATTGAGATTCCTGACTTTATCTCTGTCTCATTATTCAGCTTATTTATTCCATTCAGTTCACTATTCTGATTGTTCTATGAGCATTATTGATTTTAATCCGTAGACAAACTTCTGGTCCAGTGGGATTCGATGACATGCCTGGACCGGCACCACCATATGCACCGTACCCAACAGAAGCGCCACCACCTTACGATGAGGCTACTCATACACGTAAGTTTCCTTCGCGTTTCCATTGCTTTAGCAGAACTCGTTAATTTGTTGTATAGACTGTACAAACTTGTGTGTGGTTCCTTTGGCACACCTGTTTTCTGTTGGGTCGGGGGCGGCCCAAGTGGTAAGTTTCCTTCGCGTTTCCATTGCTTTAGCAGAACTCGTTAATTTGTTGTATAGACTGTACAAACTTGTGTGTGGTTCCTTTGGCACACCTGTTTTCTGTTGGGTCGGGGGCGAGATGGCCCAAGTGGTTAGAGCGCGAATTTACTGACCGGAAGGTCCGTGGTTCGAATCCGACCTCCGCCACCCGACTTCCCCTGTCTAGGCTTGGGCAACCTGGCAGTATCCCAGCCCTCGTGCTTCCTTCGGGTGGCATGGCAGCTAGGCACCGAAAGGGTGCTGAAGGCTTTCTTTCTTTCTGTTGGGTCGATAAAAACAGTTGGTGACATTCAGTTGGCTCCAGTTCATGAGGTCAAGTTCTTGAGCATAATCACCACTACTGCTTTTAGCGGCAGGCCAGCGCCTAACTGGGGTTAAAGTTCAGATACGGAATGTCATAATACCGCATCAGAGCAGATCGTTGCAGAATGCGTTGTTTGTGGCTACCCATAAGGACACCAGCAGTTTACTTACTACTTTATTGAATGCCACAAGTCCTGAGGAGCGAAATGCACTAACAGTTCAGAACTTCGCACCGTTGAGTTCAGTTTGAGACACATGGTTACTGACTTCTGCACTCACTCGGGTAGATGTCTTACGTTATACATCCATCACTCAGTTCTCGTCGATTCGGCGGTTGACGTTTCCTTTTAGTATCTATAAGAACTTTCCTTCAATAACATCGCAGTCTTCGTTCGTTTTTTAGTGTAACGAAACAAAGCGTTGTTTTGATTCACAGGTTCGGTTCTCACTCAGTAGTTGTTACCACGATTGAATCCGCCTAGGTTAATGACTGGGCCTTGTTTGGAGGATATTCAAGCTGGACCGGGCGTCAAGCCCTACTAGAAATGCTGCTAATTTCAAACACCAGCAGTAGCTCACTGACGGGCCTGTTTTATCAAGTTACAATAGTAAGAACAAGGGTATGTGCAGCCCTCCCTGCCCATCTGTCACATAGGATGTTGAACGAAGTCCGCCCGAACCAGAATCTCTGGTTGTTAGTTTTCCGGTCCCCATAATACACACGACAAATCAGACGGAGAACTGCGCGTCATGGTACAATCCGTGCATAACTTGTGTTATTATGGTCATTTAGCTACAACTGCGTCCAAACTCTATACAGCGATACAGTTAGATAAAGTCGCTCACTTGCGTCTACTTGGTCTATATACAGAAAGTGATCCTATACTAGTCTCTAACCGAGCATGTTCTTGGGATGAAACAATAAATTCATAAGAAATGTAGGGGGTCTTTACTGGGTAACGCTGCGGCTTTTGTGCTTGTTTCCTGAGCACCATTCAATACGCATCATATGTTTCTCGCGCTTTACCGTTTCGCCAAAATAAACTATCTGTATCTGGGCTGTGATATTTTTTATCATAGTGTTTCCCATGACCTTATCCTTGCACTGGCCTATGGGCGGCAAGTGTATCTCCTTCCATGGCTCCCATTACGCCTACATTATTGTTTTGCATCTCAATCCAGCCTTCTCAGCGTTCACAGAGGATTCCACAACTAGACAGCGTCCAACATCATCGTCCTCTTCGGATTACGGCTGGCGAAGAGATTTTGCTCCCAACCGTTCGGGACCAAGGAGTTATCATCCCAAAGAACATACACAGTCTGGTTCGTGGCTATCGAACAGCCTGGCTGCTGGTGCTGGCTTTTTGGGTGGTTATTTTCTTGGTTCTCGTGATCGAGCACCAATGCACCATACCTCCCAGAGTCGATTATATCCGGATTTAGGTGGAGTCGGAGACGAAACCACTTACGATTCACATACGGCCACCACGACTACCCGCACTAGTTCCCATAGGTCTAATGAGGATGATCGCGATTCGTATGTTGCTACTGGTAAGTTCACTGTTTGTGTGTTTTGTTCTTCATACTTCCATTGAACCCTTCGCGGACACGATTACCACTATAATCATTTTTCATCGTGTACACTTGTATTAGGCAGTTGGTGTCAGTGTTTTAAATAAAATAAGATCTAGATTCATTTCACTCGAAAAGGTGAATCACTATAGCCGTCGTTGCTCAACAAAATACCGGTGCCCTACTGTACAATGCGATTCGCTTGAAAATTCACAGTAATAACTCCAATTGGTATGTTGTATATGCTTTGATATTTGATGCTCCGTCACTCTAGTGACTGTATACTCTCTTACCGTAACTGAGACATGTTAGTGCTACATATCTATTCATCAGTTCCGCTGTCATTCTGAACCAGAAGTAGAATGCATCACCGAAATGTGTTTCATTACAGTAACAGAACCAAAGACAACTACTAGGGGTTCAATAAGTGTCGATTTATCTTGCTTTGGTTCATCAGACCTTTAATATGTACTACATCTATGGTGTATTCCAACGAATGATGCTTCGCACGTACCATGATCAGAGTTCTCGTCAAGTCCAGCCAGAAAGGACACGCTGCAGTTGTGTGATTCTGTATAGGCACCAGGCGGGCAGGCAAACATGTTGCGAATTCCTTCTAATTTATCAGCTTTCATCATCCATTGTAAGCGTAATAGCAGCTCGGTAAAAGAAGGGTAAAGGTTGAATGTCGTGCTGTGGCCAATGGTAGAATGGTAAACGGCATGAGTCGAGCTCGAAATAGCTCAGTGGTTAAGGCACAAACTTATTGATGAGAAGGTTGGTGCTTTGTACCCAATCTCAGCCTCTCAACTGCTTTTGTCTATTTTCGGTCAACCTGGGGCTATCGCAGCACCCGTACTTAATTCAGGTCACACCACAAGGTTGTTAACGCCGAACGATTATTTGCGGATTGGCCCAATGGTACTTTTTACACTGTGTTTCCTGCAACATGGCATTTCCTTTCCATATCGATACTACTTAAATGTCATGTTTCCAACAGGTTATTGGCGAAGATAATACGATGTTAGCAGCTGAAATCTTCCTGCTGCCTGAATGAAGTGGATTGCGAGCCACATGCTTCAGTGTTACGACACTAACCACTTAACGTGATAGTTGACCGGTGAACCTGGGTCATCGGTAAGGGGTATTTTCACAGTAATGTATTGCATTGAGTCTAGAAAAAGTCAGCTGATTCGAAACTGGTCATTCAGTGAGTTATCCAGCTGTAAACACATTGTTGCCTTGGTTCGCTGATTCAGTTTTGTTCGTTAAGAATAAGGATAATGGGTGAATGGCAGTCACGTGCTCAATCAGTTCATTGATATTAAGCCATCCTATTCATCCACTGAAGCGTGCAGTGAGGGAGTTGTGTATTGAAGGCTTAGGTGTGGGATCACCAGTGGTCTTCTGAGAGGGCCGTATCTGCCACGTTCACCAAGCGTTGTCAACAAAGTTCAGTCCACATAAAACTTTCCTACCCTTGTGTTTGTTATCCAGTGTATTCAGAGCATTCTCGTTAACCTTAAATTGCTTGCAATCAGTATTCCAAGTTCCTTCTTTTCTTTTTGTGATTTGTTGTTTGTATATCCTGAGTTCATCATCTTGTTTCTTTACCTCCATTCATTTCTCTAGGTTTTGCCAGCACCAGCCGGCGCTGAACGGTGTGCTGTGGCTAATTAATCTACATACAACTGACTTTACTGTAGATGTGTCCCATTTCAGAGTTCTCACTGACTCCCTCTCACTTCGCCCTAACATCATTTCTGACTAACATTTGCTTTCATCGACAGTCATATTTTTCAAGTGCATTTTACACAAGTGTGTACAAGTGACACTGTTCTCTTTTCACTACAATCCTTCGGGTTTGACTTGGCCTATGAACCTTTTAGATGAACGAGTCCTGTTTTACGGTGATAAGGATACGCTGCCACTGAAAAATGAAATTGACGCCAGCTGTCGGATAGGATTTTTGTAATGGTGTCCAGAACAGCCATGCCTCACACATACTGTTCAAGCTGTTAGTTTGCAATCCGCTTTTTTTCCAAATTTCATTCCATCCGGAGATTTAACTAATGAAACCTTCGAAGACCTCAAAACCGTTGTGCCCCCAAAACTGAGTTCAGCTCAGGCCTGAAAGTAAGTAGAGCATAAGGTTGCTAGAAACTCGGGGACTGCCCTGCCTGATTAAGCCCCAAGAGGAGTGAAACCGGTCGTGGGCTGTCGAAGAGTTTCCAGCAATCTTGAGAGTAGTTTCCTTCATGTAAATACACTTCCGTTCAAGTAATGTGATGCACGGACCACCGTTAGTAATGTACTGATCATCTTCGGCTTCTCGAGTGTTTCAGTGCCTGAAACATTTAGTTTATTGAATTTGTATGCGATTTCGGATCCCAGGTCAATGGAGTCAGTGACTGAAGACTAAACCGTTCGACTACTAGTGACTGGTCAGCAGTGTGATTAAGTCGCACTTGGAGCATAACACCACTCATCCTCCAGTTGTAAAATTCTCGGCTGGCTTCTCTAGTGCTCACTCTTGTGTGTTGGTATGTTACTTGGCTTCTTGTTTTGTGTGTAATGCAGTTTTTGCGCTATATCCTGTTTCAGTACGAGTTAGCCACACTGGTGCTGAGCAACTCGTGGCCGATTGGTGTAGCCTTCTACCACTGGTCGAGCGGTTGTCAGCTTAGGTCAACCTGAAGATTCGTGAGATTAGCACTACCGATGATTTCCAACAAGTATGAAAGAGCTACACAGTACCTTTCGGCGTGGTTGCACTCCATCCGCATGACTCATCCTTGCATACGGCCAGTATCATCCTTCCAACATGGCACAAATATTGTTAATAAACGAGATAGATTCTTTAGGCGTGCAGACAACGTGTTGAGTTCAGTCGTGCTGTTTCATTCACTTTCAACACCACCTGTGAATGATAAACATAAGCTGTATGCCACAGAGACCAACTTATCGACTACGTGGCTGACAAAACTTGTATAGCATGAGAGCTACCGCTCTGTGCTCCTGGATGCTAACTTCCAAAGACTTAGTAATTAGGAATTCGGGAAACGCTGTCTCCAGTCTTCCGACAGACCAACTTTGCTATGGGTCGTGTCATAGTTGAGGCGGAGACTTCACACTAGACGGACAGACGTGCATATCGTTCCGAAACACCTGGGGAGTACATCAAGGTCACAAACATCAGATGCAGAATGCGCGGGTGTGGTTCTTCTAGATGGGCAAACTGAACTGACGGTTGTGGTGGGCAGACCTGATTAGTACATCTGAACACATTTAACTGCATTCCCACTCCACTCGAGGTCTTTCAGTTTGACAGTAGACAACCCACATCACAAGATTGGTTACTGTTTCGTAAGATCAAGACCATAAGTTGTCCGTTTGATGGTCCGGACTTGCCTGCATTAGCAAGGCGATTCTAAGCTTAGAAGTTTGTCCTTCTTACTCCTTACAAATGGGATATCTGAACTTGCACGAATAACGTAAATTTAATATCGATCTGATGAATCAGATAGTAGCATGGATGGGAGGTGTTTTAATTATGAACAATAGTCGTGGGTATGTTTTGTGACCGAGCTCTTTTGACTCATGTTGCAAAAAGTTTCTGACAATAGTTCGCACCCATTGAGTACAAGAATTTCACCTGCGTCCAGTGTGTGGCGGGTCCAGGAATCAATGCACCAAGATCCCGGGTTTAAGACCCCCTATAAATAAGACAAAAGCAAGATGTCTAGTCAGTTTCTGTCAACTGAGGGTGATACCCCCGGGGCTTGAATTTGTGTTTCACGGGCATGGTGAACGCTTTGTAATGTGGACTGTTGGTTTGATTCACAGTATTTTAGCGCAGTGCGATACTTTGGTTACTCGTCTTCCGGATCATTATCCCCGATAAATTTCCCCAGGATGAATTATGTATGCATCAATCACTTGCGCATGTTCAAACACGTGTGCAGATTTCAAGCATTCGTAGGTGGAATCTGGTAGTGATTCTTACGGTGTAGCACCGTCCCTCGCTGCTCTCTTCTTCATGTGACTACTAAGCCTATTGTGAAAATGAATTTGTGTACCGAACTTCACTTGACTGCTTGCTTGTTCTGATCTGTTTTCAATCCGTAAAGGTGACTCCTTCGAATTCAGTCCGTTGAGCTTTCGGTTCAGTAGCGTGATTGGTTAACACTTCGTCTTCCCCTCATCATTGTGCTCGTCGTAGTTGACCTGACTACTCGAATGATCGTTCATCGGCAATCCTGGTTATTACCTAGACGGAATGCTACACATGAGGTTGCTGATAACTCTAACAGCCCATACTTGGTTTCGCGCTTCCTGAGGCTCATCAGGTAGGCACAACGAGTCTTGGCCCTACTTATGTTCCATTGGTATCCAACTTGTAAAAAATGTGCGAACTAACTAGTTTGACCTTGACGGGAGGCCCACTTGGGTCTCTCGCTTTTGATGTTATTCTGCTTGACCACGCCGGTCAGGTAGCGTCATAGTTCCTTTAAGGTATCTGGACACGAGAAGTCCTTTGTTTTCCTACACAGCTACCTTATAGGCCACAAGGATTCTATGTGGTATCTTTTTGCTATATATCTCGACTGAATCCGTAAGACGACTCGACGTGAATTTCAGTGTCTTAAGGTTCTAAAAGTTTTGCAACACTAAGTTTTATGTCAGAGGCCGAAAATTCTCCCTTAGGATGCCTCCACATGAAGCCAGCTTTCTAAGCGTCTTTTGAAAAACACTAGGATGTCAGCGCGAAAAATAGTCAACTGAGCCTGACAAGGCTTATGAAAGTGAATCAGGGACTAACCAATCTGGACGTCAGCTTACCATATTTTGAAGTGATATTCTGCTTGGGTTACTTGTGCTGTACCACTCAATAACCGCCCACCGGTACAGAACCCATGGTAACTGCTAATCAAAGCATTTTAATGTGATCGGTGGGTACGTCCTCATACTAACAGTGCATGTCTGTCATAGATATCGTTAGGCAGCTGATCTCTCCACTCCCATCCGGCGGTCCCCAAATGGGAAAGGGTTTCCGCAGTGCAAGTCTTTATAAATAACTATATTTTGCCTGTGAAATAACATGCGGGTTTTAGACTTGATATTTGTCAGATTTTAGGAAAAAAGTGCTTTGGTAATTACACACCGCAGAATTTCCTGGCCAATCATCTCGTGGTGTCAACTAAACACCCATCAGCTTGTTAAAGTTGTGGTGATGGCAGCTTGTCTTAGTTCATGAGTGACCTTCACCCCCTATACCACGGTTTGCTCATTCGCTTTTCACTTAGAATGTTTCCGTTCTTAACTGATGTATAACGCCAGCAGACTACTGTCTTTTTAAATCGGAGTTGCTGCCAAAAACTGGCACTGTTAGTGGAAATTGTTGGCGATACACAATCAGAATGGTTCTGTCAGGAAGGTCAGATTCCTGAAAATAACCTCAGAATTCCCGGAACCCTAAAACTCCACCAAAATCTCAGTAGGGAAGCCGACAAGCATTCAGGCCAGTCAATCACTCAAATAAAACCGTCTATGCTGGTTTCTGGCAGTTGTTTCTCTAGAAAGTCACGGGCATAAAGAAAGTCTCAGTCATACGGACATTCGTATTCTTTTGGTGGCTAAGATTTACACAGAACTGACTCGTGCAGGTCCGTTTGAAGGCAATAAAACAAGTAAACAGCAGCATGGATGTGTGTCCTCATGAGGCAGAATAACAATAGATGCGAACTGGATCTGGAGTTCCCATCCAAAGGATGTCCTTCTTAGAGGATTGTGCCGTGAATTTAGAGCTACAGCTAATCCTACTGAAAAGTCCCCCACGCAAACAATATTCGTTTTCCACTTCCTCAAGCTTTTCCTCACTGGATCAAATGATGACTGACGAAGAACATTCAACCACTTGGTAGATACTACTTATTCAAAAGAGAAACCTATGGATTCTCAGTTATACATGTCAGTAGAGCCTAGTCTGCAGAAAATGATTTATGTCGTTTCGCTTTCTCTGCAGTTCTCAAAACGTGCTTGTTTTGCAGCGCGTTATGATTGTAGGATAGTCTTGCCGTCCCAGTCCATAAACTGTTTTGTGACGCCAGTTGGCGTGAGTCAGTGTGAGTAATAGTGTGACGTACTGTGGTACATTGTTATCGACAGATGCTTATGCTGACCGACCTGGCGCACAATGGTCTATCTTCAAACGGTAGGACTAGTTGTGACAGTGTGATAGTAGCTACATATCAAAACACTTCTAAATCATCTTTACAGGTCTTGTTCAGACTACGTCGCTGCTTCCTGATTTTGCTGAGTAAGAATAAAGTGACCCAGAGTAAGCCAGTGTGCTTTAGAGATTGATGGTTTTGGCAGGTGGCGGTAAGGTCAAGTAGTCTGATCACTAGTGCGTCAGCTACTAATCGGAGCCATATAGAAAGCTTGGTTGACTGGGACACGACTCCTAAACAGTTAACCAGTTGTCTTTAGGTTTGAAACTCCTGACCTGCATCTGTCAACAGTCCGTACAATACTTGGGTCTAACATGACCATTTATGCGTAATTCTCAAGTGCCTCCGGCTGTCATTACCGCGTAACGTCACCTGTTTCTGTCAGAACGACCTAACCACTTTTCTCCGAAGGCACTGAAACTGTATTCTCTGGCAAGACTCAGGAAAGAACCACGATTTTTATCATCATTTGTGGAATGAATAAAAAGCATTTTAAATGGATGAATCTGCATCTATTGTTACCCCATCTCTCCAGACTGAAGCACGTGATTACTTCGGAATACAAATACCCTGTGGAATATCAGTTTAAGCCGGAGAAGGACCTTTAGTAGCTCTTTGTTGATGAGCCTACAATGTGGTCATC